TTTGTAGTTGTCTAATAAGAAAATGTTAAAAATATTTTTACCAACAAATAATAACAATATCTGAATTATTTTATTCACCTACATATTTCTACAAATTTTTTCGAGTTGAAAGGTGCTCTAATCTCAATGGGAATTTATCTAGAGATCAGACAGGTAAAAAAATGAGACCAACATTAGCGATCTATTTATGAGGCTTCTAGTGGTACTCACGCCTACCACTGGTTTATATGTTTGTAAGACAACACTAGTTTTCACTTCTACTTAGATAAATCAGTGGTCAAAGTTTTACTAGTCTAGATCAAACATCCTCAAAGATATTTTAAAAAAAAGATTATATTTTTCTCTAATTTCAACACCATGTATCTCGAAAACGAAGCACACTACGACCCAGGTTGATATGAAACTTTTTATTCAAATATAAACATATAATACCTAAAGCACATCTGAAATACTATTTCCAGGTTGCGTAGTAAAAACGAAAACGATTCGCGTTCCCCTTGCGAATCTTTTATTCATTTATCTATTAAGTAGCTAGTCAGTTTTCAAATCACGTTGATATATTGCCGCTTTACCCACTTTTGTATTATACCCTGCCTCACAAACGGAAATCTAGTTCAAGCTAGATGCATAAAAACACGCCGGAACCAGAGTGGAAAACTTCTATTTTAAAACAACGCCCTATTATATTTGACGCAAATTAAATAACAAAAGGATTGCGAGAATATGTGGTCCAATTTTGAGGACGGAACGTGTGGCAAAATAAAAGAGGAGAACAGTTTCATTAACGGCTTCAGTTAAATAGTCTGAAAAAAATTTCTTAATCAAGTTTAATGATATCAAAAAGAAAAAGAATAATATACAATAACGAGTTTTCTATTACAGAACAATTTTATGAAAAATTTAGGTTAATTATAATTGGAAAGAAATAGTATGAAATCTTTCAAAGAATTGTACGATGATTTTTACTATTTTCTGTAATTATTATGTTTTAATAAAACGATTAGTATTTTCGATTTATTTAATTGTATCGCAAGTATATGAATGAAAACTTTCACTTTCAAAATACTCAAATACATCGAAATTTTAGTATTCCTGGTATCGCTATTTCTTCCAGTATCTCCCGTGCTTAATATAATTATATGTATATAAATTTATATTGTTCGAGATCTTTAGTACTTTTATCTTCAGAAATACTTAAAAATCATCTCCCTTTATTATTGGAACATGCTAGAGACTATCCTGTATATGTCGGTGATATTTTACTCAAAAATAAATTTATATGCTCTATTGTTACACTTCCTATAAGAAAAAATGACTTATACAGTTGTGAATTATGCAGTTGTTTTGTGCGGCATTTTGCTTTCATGTTATAGGCTATGTGCTTTGCAGCAACAGACTTTGTTCAGCTTAACTTCCGGGAACAATCCCCTAGGGGGCTTGTTACAAACTTCTTGACACCAAAAGTTAACCTTGGTAATAATCGCGTAGGATGGTCAAGGATACACGCGAACTGAATATTTATTGGAACCATAATTATTATATCTTGAAGAAATAACTTGAGGAACTAAAGTACAAAATTTTTATTAAAAATTCCATCAAGAGTAATCAATAGCGTTTCCAGCATTAATAGTTTTATATTAAAACTTTGTTGTTTATTTATTTATTTATGTATTTATTTACTTATTTACTTATTTAGAAACAACTGCCTAGACAGGACAGAGCCCAATTACAAGGCAGATATAATACGGATTAAAAAAACAAAACAAATACAATTTACCTTAACATATATAGGTAAAACATAAATCCAAAATACGCTTGTGAACAGAAAAAAGAAAAAAGAACGCTTCTACGTCTATATAAATTTTACCGTAGAAGTGGAAGTTGCTATGGACAACTGGAGGTAAGTGAGGTAACTTACCTCCCTAGGGAAAAAAGAGATTTCGAGTTATTATAAATGCATATTTTATGAACAAATAAATAGAAATATTTGATAAACATTACATTTTATTATTTATTATGAATGATTATTTATAGTAATTGTACAGTTATTACATTTAGTAACATTTATAAATTAATTATTCCCCTCGCGTTTACTAATTGTCACATTTATCTCAAAATGATTTGACCGCTCCATTTCAGTCACCGGAGGCTCAATATTATCTGACTGATCCATTAAAACAGCATGATGCACCATACTACTGGAACCTGGAGTTGAAGTGTCATTATAAAGAATCCTGTTGGCTATTTCATTTTTGTTAGGTACCTACTTAAATTGTCAGCAACATAACTTTCTGCAATTGTGGCTGATGAATCAACTCCTGTATTAGCCAGTAACGTTACCGATGTTCTTCGGAATGAATGGCCTGTATATGTTTCAGGATGTTCTAGTTTCAAAAACTGTGCAATCTTATTAGGAATCATAGAAAGGGTATTCTTGCCGACTGGTTGGTTGTAACATCTACCTGCGTGCCAACGCATAAAAAAGCGTGAAATTTCAGTTTTAGTTTGCAATCTAATCTTGATATATGAGAATTTCTAGGTGAGAAACAGAACCCAGACGAGAAGTAATTGTAAACGTACGTGATATTACCATTTTTAGAATCTGGAATTGTAACTACGATAATGTCATCGAAACTTTTGAAATTGACGTTGTCCAAAGTAAGTTTGCATAACTCAGAACGGCATGCTCCTGCAATGCCTAAGACCGTGACTACCTTCATTAGCAAATATGTGTTATCGGGTGTAGTGCGTAAACGAGAAAATCGTTGACTTGTTCTCTTGTAAAAACGACTTTTTAGGTGCATAACCGTCATTCTTACGCTTCAAAAATGCTCTCAGCTTGCGGTATTTTGATATATCCACGTTCTTCTCTATGAAAATAGTTGACTTAATCATTGAGTATTCACTCCACAAACTCGCCGATGACTTTAAAGTTCTTGACTTCTCTATAAAATATGCTAGCAGTGATATTTCAGAAACACCAGTATTTTCGTTCTGACAACATTCTTTGAAATTTCTATATGCTCGTCCTCAGCGCACTTTCGACTTCTCGGACAATAAAATATAAATAAAATTCTCAGGCAGCATTTGCTGCTCTTTCTATTTGAAAATCATTCATTTATAAATAATAATTCAAAACAAGCAAAATTGCAACTTTTATGCAGCTTTGTTTATAAACACCTCAGAAACGACAAAGTCCAAACAACCAAAGCGATTTTGCAAGGTTTCGAATAATGTCAAAATGAATTGATTAAGAAATATCAAAAAATGAAATCTAATCTTTATTTCATGAACCATAATGAACTGTGGGAGCAGATAAAACGTTATACACCACGCAGCAGTTAAGTATAATTTACCTCCTACATGGTGTAAATAACTATTAAATAAAACATATACCAATTTAAATTTTAAATTTAAAACACATACCAATACTAATTATTGTTGTTAACGTCACTAATTACACAGGTCAACGTTTTATCTAGGCATGTGCACGGGAATCGAAGATGGTATTCTAGGGTTTTTGGGGTCGCTGATTAGGCTCCATCACGTCAAGTTCAAGTTCAGTTGAAGGTCAAACTGTCAAAAAACCTTCCAAAAATCTGAAAAAATGCATGGACTTGTTTTTGAGGTCGCTGAATCCGAATCCGGTGTGTATTTTTACTTTGCATGCATCCTCGAGGTCATTAGAGGTCATTCAAGGTCATCTGAAGGTCATCTCATGGTCATCTCAAGGTCATTTGAGGAGTTTTTGACACGAAAATGCTAAGTACCATCCGAAAAATCTGAAAAAATCATACGTTCGTTTTCGAGGACCCTGAATCTGAATCTGAGGTCAGTCGACCTCATTTCAAGGTCATTTGAAGGTCAAATGGTCAAAAAACCTTCCAAAAATCTGACAAAATTCATGGACATGTTTTTGAGGTCGCTGAATACGAATCTGGTATTTATTTTTACTTTGCATTCATCCTCGAGGTCATTCAAGGTCATCTCAAGTTCTAGTTCTGTGAGATTATTACCATGTTATGCATTAATGAGATTTATACCAGAAAATATTATTTGGAACATGACTGTAGAATCCACGTAAAAAACCTCAAATGACCTTGAATGACCTCAAGGATGCATGCAAAGTAAAAATAAACACCGGATTCGTATTCAGCGACCTCAAAAACATGTCCATGATTTTTTCAGATTTTTGGAAGGATTTTTTACCATTTGACCTTCAAATGACCTTGAAATGAGGTCGACTGACCTCAGATTCAGATTCAGGGTCCTCGAAAACGTACGTATGAATTTTTTCAGATTTTTCGGATGGTACTTAGCATTTTCGTATCAAAAACTCCTTAAATGACCTTGAGATGACTTTGAACTTGACGTGATGGAGCCTAACCGACCCGCTCATCGTAATCAGCGACCCCAAAAACCCTAAGATACCATCTTCGATTCCCGTGTACAAACCTAGATAAAATGTGGACCTGTGTTATTAATCCTCTAAAATGCCTCCTGACTACAATTTAAGTTTAATATAAAATTATAAATGTTAGAAAAGTTCCTCAGTAAGAACTAAATCTCCAAGAAAAATTTACTATACAGGGTGTAGAATATTCAGTTGAAAGTGTGTTTAGTTAAAATTTTTCCTATTTTTCACCCCCTGAAAGATAAATTGTTACCAATGATCCTTTTTAGTTAAAGGAAGCCAAAAAAAAACAAATAAAAATGCTTTAACTCGCATTGGGATAACTATAAAACAAACAGATACCTACATGTACAAAACCAATCAGGAGATCAAATAGCTAAGATAAAAAAGACAAATCGTCTTTTTTTTCAAAGGAAGACGACAAAAAATCGGGAGAGACTCCAAAGAAAATATCACCCTGAACATTATTTTGAATATGCATACATTGTCTGTCAGTCCTCAAAAAAAATGTATAGAATGTTATCAATATTCTACACAATTATTTCTGTAACACAATCTCCCCTAACAGGAAATGCACGTGTTTCAGGCTTCCGGGGCCCTTGAAGAGCACCGAAGGATGAGGGAATACCTCAGGAGGATGGAACGCGACGGAGTTCAGCGAGTTAAGATGTTTCTTGTGATCACGGCGGCTTACGTCCTTTTTTGGGGACCACTATTTTTTGTCACTCTCGTCAACCACCCCATCGTAGGCAACCCCTTGGGACACGAGGTACGTTGGTACATTATATGCATGCTTGAAATTCAGACAGCAGTATTCAAAGGATAGTTGAAATTAACAGCGAGTGTAGAACTTTAGAAGTTACAAGAGATATTTATCTAGATGACTGATTATAATACAATGTTTACAGTCTATTGTCTTCTGTTTTTTTAACGGTAGTAAAAAGTTATTCATCTATTTTGTTACGTAAAAAAAGAATTTTAACTTTTCATTCGAAAAACATACCGGCTCCGGCGCCCACTATTGTAAAAATTTCACGTCCAGTATTAACGTCCTTCACATAATTATTCCTCAATTTTTTTAAGTAAAAAGAGCTATCAAGTATTCTTTTTCAATAATGTAAATAAATTGAAATGTGGACTATTAATTTTTGCGAAATTTTGAAATAAGCTTTAAATTTTACTAGAACGATAAATATAACAAGATTTAAATAAATATTTATTGATTCAGTGCAAAAGATATTTCTGAGCCAGACAAGTCCGTAGATATAAAGCAATGCTTTGAGCAGGTAGTCACTGAGTATGCCATTTAAAAATATGACATAAGTATAATATTATATCTCACCATCACTCAAAACGCGTCTGCAAATAGACCAAATAAAGATCCAAATCATTTGTCGGCCATCTCACCTATGACATACTGACGAGAACTAATAAATTCGAAGCCGATCTATATTTGATGACTCTCCTGACATATAATCTTAGCTATTTACTAGATATCTAGGTGTAATTTAATGCCAGTCAAGGCATGTAGCCTGTGGAGTAGTTGTTCCTCAAAATATTTTTAGTTATAAAGTCATACCTATGACATATGATATATCTCATAGTTAATCTTCTTATTGTAACTTCACTTAATAATAGGTCATTCGATGTGAGACTTTATACTATACAGAGTGGAAAGTTTAAATGGAACAAATTATGTAACTTAATAAATAAAGGTTTGTCGCAAAATTCCTGAAACACGTGAAATTTTATTTTCAATGGGGCATATTACAAAGAGGTTTGTTTATTTTTTTTAATTATGTGAGAAGTTGCAGCAACCCCCAACTTTTTTTACAATTACCTATTTTTTTGTTACTTTTTATAAGCAATGTGTCAAAAATAAAGAAAATAAGGAAATGTTTACTGAAGCTTCTTTAATGGATACATTTTTTACTTACTCGATAAACCACGATAACAATTCCATACCTTATCACCTGCTCGCGTGTTTTGATCAATTTTTTGGTACTTGTTTGCACTTCAACGTGTACAATAAAAACCAAAAATAAGAAAATGCCCTATTTAGCCGAGACGCATCGTATCGAAATTTTAATGATGATCAGGTTTAAGGACAGAAATCGAACACAGGCTGAAGACGCTCGTTTGTTTGCTGAAGCTCATCCAGAAATGTCTCCAATTGATCGAAGTACGAATAGCAATATCGAAACTCGATATCGGGAGTTAATCTACGTGAGGGATGCTCCTCGACAAAGGTCTTTAAAAATCGAGGAAGAAACCTGGTTGAACATGTTGAAAGTTGAAGAAAATTCTATTAATCCAGTTAGGTATATAGCTCGCATCGAGAGTGTCAGTCACACAACCATTTTAAAAATTCTGAAACAAGTAAAAAAGCACCCATATAAGATGCAAAAACCTACACGAGCTTAAAGAAGATGAACCTGATCGACGACTCGACTTTTGCGAACGATTTATGATTGAAAATGTAACCGAGCAAACATACCTAACTAAAATAAACTGGTCCCTGCCTTAGCGGTTTTATTCTCCAATAATTTGGTTCCCGTATTTTTTGACCAACGGATATGGTTTCAACAAGACGGGGGCCTACTACATTTTGCTCAAAATGTACGGACCTATCTCAACGAAGTGTTTCCGACTAGATGGATTGGAAGAAGGAGCTCAATTGAATGGCCAATAAGATCACACGATCTTACCCCATTAGATTTCTTTTTATGGGGATATCTAAAAAGCAAAGTTTATGCTACTAAACCAAACGACATCGTTGAGCTTCAATAAAGAATCATGGATGAAATTAGGCAAGTAACGCCGGAAGTGTTACAAAATGTTCGAAATGCCTTTTATTATCGATTATCGGGCATTGTCAGTAACAAGGTGGAGGGCACTTTGAAAATTTTTTTCATTAAAGTAGCTTAATAATATTTTATTTTTTCCCACAATTTGCTTATAAAAAGTTTAAAAAAATACGTAATTACAATTAAAAAAGCTTTCAAATAAAAAATTAATCGACCTACCCTTCCATTTAAAAAAAGTTGCTGCCAATCCCCACATAATAAAAAAATAAACACACCTCTTTGTAATAATATGCTCCATTGAAAATAAAAATTGACATGTTTCAAGAATGTTGCAACAAACCTTTATTTATTAAGTTACAGAATGTATTCCAGTTGAACTTTTCCACTCCGTATATAGATCGTAATGAATGTACTCAATAGATGCTAAAGTGCTTTTTATTCAAGTAATCTTCGTGTTACATTAGTTGGCATAGTTGTCTAATAAATCTAATTCCTGCTACTTTTATAGACATCTATGTATTTTTAAATTATTAGAAGTGAAAGATGTTTTTAAGCAAAAACACGATAGCTCCCTAGATAGCAACAATGGCGCTACCACTGCAAAACGGGAAGTCTCCTGTCGCTTGCGACATAAAGTCATGTGCCGATATGTCGTAAAGGCTTATCTCGAATAGGTATATGCACTAAATTTCATTTGCTTTGAGGATTTAAAGCAGCTGTCGCATGTCTGTGCCGCATAACTTTACGTATGCACCTTCGCTACCACAATCTTAGGATAACTTTATCTTACATGTTCCTGAAATGTTCGGTACTCAACACTGAACGTGTTATTTATTTTTTACTGCTACAAAAACATTACAACAGCTCTGAACAGATACCAATCGCAAATTTAGAATTATATAAAAAATTAACACCCGTTAAAAATTATCACAAAATATGATCGAAGGTGACCAGTATTACAAGAGGTTCATCCAGAATCTAGTAATCCTTTTGCGAACAAAAGGTACTTGCGTCAAACCAAAGCGAGCTGTCAAAAATAATATTTATTTTGCCATCTTAGTTACGAGATCTGTTCAGAAAATAACCGAACTTTTTGAATTACGCGCTAATGAAAATATTTAGTGATATGCCGTTGGCAGCATTGCGTTGCGCATAACCTCCTCTGTAACCACATGTTCTTGGATTGTTGATATCTCATTTAGTTTTCGCGATATGGTTATTTGAGTGTAACTTATTTAAGTGTTAGTGACGATTCTTGAAATGTGCGATTTTCTAGAACAACGATGCAATGTAAAATTTTCTGTGAAACTTGGGAAAACGTTCACAGAAACGTTTCAACTTTTGAAACAAGTTTACGGAGATGATGTTCTCGGCCACGCGCGATGTTACAAATGGTTTTCACGATCAACTGAAGACGATCCTTAACCAGGAAGGCCTCCGACTTCAGTTTAAAAAAATAAAGTTCGGTTATTTTCTGAACAGACCTCGTAAGTTCTTAATATGCCTTTTTCCGGATGTACCTCAGGAAAAATAAATTTAATTTCAGAAAGTGATATTTCAAATTTGTATATTTAATTTTAGAAGGTATTTTGTATTGTATTTTGAGAAAATGTTAATCTGTAAATAATTTCGTTTTAAAAAACTTCAATTATATTCAGAAAGCGTAAATTGTTTTTCACGCACCATTTGTACTTCAGAATATATTAGATGCATTCCAGACAGTTGTTATACAGGGTGTTTCAGGATTAAGTCGACAAACTTTAAGGAGAAATTCTTCATAAAGAAAATAAGAAAAAAAACAAGTATACATTTTTTCCAGAGACGCTTCATTTCCGAAATATAGGACGTTAAAGATTTTTTTAAAAATTCGAATTTTTTAAATAACTTATAAATGAAGAAGGCTATTTAAGCCAAATTTGGCAAGACACATCTTCTTATAAGATACCATTTTTCCATAGAAGTAGAAGTCCCGCAAGCAACCAGTGGCGGAGTTATGGGGACTCAGACTCATTAAATTCTAAAAAAACTTAATCCGGTCCTACTGAAAATAAAAAATAATGCTGTTTTTAGATAGAACAGTTTGTCTCTGGAAAAAAATGTATACTTGATTTTTTTCTTATTTTTTTATGAGGAGCATATCTTTAAAGTTTGCTGACTTAATCCTGAAACACCCTGTATAGTTGATTTCTCAAATACATTATGTAGTACTAAGTACAGAATAGTACAGATACATCAGAAAGTTATATGTAACATTATCGTAATATTCTTATTTAAACTATTCAACTTAAAATTGAAAAACTGTTGGAAACAAAATAAATATTAGAATCTGTTAAATTACACACCAATTGATCAGAAATTACAACCAAATACAATAAATAATTTAAAATCAATGAAAGAACATAAAATGATTATGCAAACAAAAACACAAGAAGGGTTATATATGTCTTATGATTTGTTTAATTGAACATAAAGGGTTCTGGAATTGTCAAACAGGAGGATATATCAATTCATGCATCGACAAGCGTAACAGAAACTTACAGCTCAGGGAAATTCGGGATTATAACACTTCACAGTTCAAGTAATTCCCCCGAACTTAATCTGCAGAGAGAAAAGCGTGCTGCAGTCCTTCTCCCTAGATAAATAATCTCAAATTACCAGAATAGGCTCTCTAATGTTACAGAGATGTATCGCTCCAACTACAGGCGAGTTCAATAGAGGCTTATTCAGAATACAACAATTAATTTTCTAACTTTGAGGGCCTTAGTTAATAGCATTATTTATTATTAGACCTTTCCTTACATATTCTCATTTCACAAGCAGAATTGGCCCGAAAAGTCAAATGTGCCTGCTAAAATATGTATAGTCGTATATCCACTTTAATAATGTATATCTATACTCGTATGTGAAGATTGCTTATTTTGCAAAAAGTGGATGCAGAAATATGTGATGGAAGATGTGTTAC